AAGCAGCGGCGGTAAAAGCAAAGTGCAGCCATTGGGGGAGACGCTCTCCTCTGACTGAGACTAGTAAAAACTTCTCACCAATAATCTTGAAATCCTGTTTGTATATACCCAAAACCCTTAGCATACCTGTGCCCTTTGTCATGAGAGCGTCTGTGTTTTCAGTCAGCATGGGTGTAAACATCCAAGCACACTTCGTACGGGGTTAAACGCCTCTGAAGGGGATATTCTGTTGAGGTGAAAGAAAAGGTGCCAAATGTGATGTCTTTGAGTGAGTATTTCCGCATGCACTTGGACATTCGATTGTACCTCAGCTGTTCTTCTTGTGGCAGCTAGTTACACCATGGACTCGGAGGAGGAAAGGCTCCTAGGTCAAATGGACAACGTTGACTCCGAGGAAGAAAGGATGGGTTCGAGGCTTGTCTATAAATCCTCAGCCTTGAAAGCCTAAGCCCTAAACCCGGAAACCCTGAACCCTAAATCTTAAACCCTAACCCTTAAAGTGCCTTGACCTTTAGTCCTATACCTACCTCAGGCTATGTTTCATGTTATGGGGCCAGGTCTCAGCCTTCAACATTGGGAGATGCCATCCGGTGCGTTGCCAAACAAGGAAGTACCAAGAAGGCCCAGAGCAAAACCTGAACCAAAGATTCCAAATTTGTAACCACCGCCCTGAAGGTGTGCCACCGCAGGCCTGCCACACGGGTGCTAGGTCGCCGGAGGGCGGCAGCGAAGCCTGCTCAGCGCAAGCTTTATGGCACAGATTTGGCAGCTCCCTCAAACCTTGAAGGCCCCAAGAGTGTCTCTCAGCAGTTTGCTTGGGCACGAAGGTCTGGGGGAATTTTAAAACCGAAACTCTTTGCACTAATTCCCTGACAGGTTCTTGCAGAAGGCGGCTTCTGTGTGGGGGCTGGCATTTGTGCTTGAGAAGATGCAAGTGTTGTCATGGCTGGTGACCACTACATTTACTGGTGTGGGTTGCCTGGAGCTAGCAATCCAGAGTGCTCTTTGGCTTGACAAGCCTAAACGCTACATCCCTCCAACCCAGACCGCAACGTTGAAAGCCCCAAACCCAAATGTCAAAGATTATGTCCTCAACTTCCCGACCCTTCCTTAGGTGGAAGCAGCGGCTCGGAAAATGCTGATCAAGAACGATTTCTGTGACTCTCGGGTATGCATCAAGATCGGCCCGGCTGCTGATTTCTGCAAGACTGCTCAAGCTTGTTTGCGCAACACCTACAAGACTCGCTGTGTGTGATCTACTCAGATATGGCCTGCTGTCATCAACATAATTGCCCCATCTACTGTTCATGTTTCGTAGCACTCAGGTTCGATGATGTTCTGACGTGGAAGACTGCAGATGGAAAGCTTGCAAGTCATGCTTTCTGCGCAACTCATAAAGGAATGTGCCCTTTGCCTACTGGTCACCGAAAGGGAATGACATTCCGTGTTGAAGGGGCTGGTGCCTCTTGTGTGCCATTTTCTGTGGCCGGGAAAACGCAGAAGGCCATTCTTGAGTTTGTTCTGAAACATGGAGGGTCTATCACTATTGCTTGTCCTGGGGAAGAATTGAAGCCCTTAAACCTCAAACCTTGCCCTTAAACCTCAAACCTTGCAGACGAACGATGCGGCCTTCGAATCTCACCGGGTGTGGTATGCCATGCGGCTGAAGCACGAAGAGGCAGGGCTCCAGGGTTATTTCATATGGGACAAGTTTGATAGTGCCTATGCTTGACAAGGATGTGATCATATTCGAAAATACGCCCTTCTATGACCTCAATATCCTGCAGGAACTCTTCGGCGCCTAGGCAGCTTTGTGGTAGCACCCATAGCCACACCTTGTCAATGCCACAGTGATGAGTTCCCTACACTAAGGTGCCAAGTATGAGTTGAGGCATGTGCGGTTTTGCCCACGTCATCTGGGATTTGGTGTGGCAAGGGCGAGGTTATATGTGATCATGACTCGTCGGGAGACTGTTCGATGGACTACAGAGAAGAGTTTGGACGAGCTGGTTTCCGTATTCTTCTGCAAAGCAAGCATGACAGCCACTTGTCCCAATGATTGTGCTCTACTCCATGGCCCTATAAACCCTAAACCTTAAACCCTAAACCCTACAATCTAGACCCTGAACCTTCAAACAAAGGCCTCGGATTGCTTCTACCAAGACTTGCCAGTTGACAAGCTCACTGGCAGCCAGATGAAAACCAAGCGCAAGTACGATCAGACATATTCCGGCTCCAAGCAGGCTTTGAGGGTGGGATGTAGGTAGGGTAGGGGGTTGCAGTTAAGCTAGAATTTGAGGGACATGTCACTATGTAGTATGGCACCTGTCAGGTCTATGATTTGTCGCAAACGGGCGATTCACATATGAGGACGGAACTTTGCGATGGATCACTGATGACCTTGAAAAGGAATTGTGGGTCCCTGTATTCCACCCGGCATAAGCGCTGCCTGGACATCGAAGAACTGTTTACAGCAATGGCAATACCCACCACACCCGCCTTCGCCTCTTGATCGCTAATATTAATTGCTACAACATCATCCAAGCGCTAAACACTAAACCCTGAACCCCCACCCTGTGAATAAGGCGAGGATCACTGGATCCATGAAGCTCGACACGAGCTCTGTGAAGACCAGATCCAAGGCAAGTAGCCTCGCGGGCAATGGTATGCATGTGGCACAGTGTGGTGCAGTGTTGCTGATAGCGGCGCTCTTCTTGGAAAGGGTTTGAATATGAACAGGCATCCTGTACAGGCTGTTGCTTCCGAAGAAATCAATTCAGTTCGTGTGTGAGTACGCAAATTAGAAACGCATTCTGAGATCTTGCATGCTAGCGTGCTCTCAAAAAAGCATTGCCCTCAACTTACTACTTCATGCAATTGAATTTCACGATTGAGCTTACACACGCTCCATGTGACATCAATATTTTCATCTTCAAGAGTTTTGGCTGGACCTGAAGGTTTCTAGGTGTCATGGGAAAACGCGGGGCCGGCAAAGCCAGCGCTGCAGCGCCCAAGAAGGCAAAGCAAGATGATTCATGGGTCGGGCGCATGATCAAGGCCCTGGAGTACCTTGCCTAATACTGATGAAATTTATGATTCCTTGGGCTCGCAATCCCAACAAGTATGCTTGTCAATCTTCCGTGAGGTCCTACAACACTGAAGAGGATGATCATCCTTGCAAGCTTGTAGAGTCCTTTTTCGGGGCAAGGGCTGATGGGAGCATCGTACAGTATGTGAACCATTGGCTTCGATCCAGTGGACACCCCGAGGCCTCACCATATAAACCAAATTGTTTTCTGATAGCTACAGGGTTCTTATCTCCGTCTACATAGTTCATAATATCGGCCAGGTCTTGGTGGACCATGGCAACTTCCCCGCGGAAGGCATTGTCAGCAGCATCCCCTTCTTCTCGCTTTATCTACCCCTGCCGGTTGATCGTGCACCACCTCTTATCACTTGGGCTAAGTTTGCACCATCAATCTGGACGGCATGGGAGAGTGAACGAGAACCATTTGAAGTGAAGGCTGCAACACACAAGGTCCTGTCACCAGGTGATCGTTTGGAAGTGAGCTCTGTGGGAGTTGCCAGGGGGTATACCCGGGCATCCATCATTGCATTTGGGATAGCCCGAACTTTGATGGTGGAGGACATCAGCACTTTTTCGGAAGCGGAGAAAGCTGAGTTCACAAAGCAACTTGCCTTCATCATATTGGCACATGTTCAGCCCTGCCCTAGTCAAACCAAGTTCATTTTCAGCCGGGCCGGCCAGGGCTCAAAATCAATTTGGTTTTGGGAAAACCAAGTTCATTTACAAATGTGTTTTGCCTATGTTCAAGGAATTGATGTTCGCGAGCAGTCACAGGGCGCAAGTCAGATCATTAATTTGGTCACTATAAAACCATTGGTTTTCGACTTGGTTTTCCCAAAACCAAATTCATTTTTGCTGCTGGAATGGGGATGTCATTTTCAACTTGGTTTAACTATTGGGCATAATTTCCAATCTCAGGTTCTAGGTTGTGGAAGAATAATTTTCTGTTTGCTTTCAAATGTTCGCGAAGTCGAAGATTGTTCGAAAATGTCTGTAATTCCGAGAAAACCACGTTCTTTTCAATAGGTTCGCGAACCCCTGACAATGTGAAAATTGTCTGTGATTTCGGGAAAATCACGTTCATTTTTTAATTCGCGAGCCCCAAAACCTCTGTGGTTTTTCCGAAAGCACGTTCTTTTTCTGGCTTGGGAGGTTCGCGGCCGGGGAAACCACGTCCACCCTGAGGTTCGCGGCCGGGGAAACCACGTCCATTAGGGTCGCGGCGGGGGGGGGGTCAGGGTCGCGGCCGGCGAAACCACGTCCATTTCAGGTTCGCGGCGGATATTGCTTTATAAATTAATAGAAATCTCAATATAATACTCAAACCCCTTTACCCTTTTTTATGCTGAATCTGGACCTGTAGGCTGGGGATCCACTACTTTATTTCCTATTCTCAAAATTGAATCTGTTGTCAAGGTGGCTCTTGTCGATCCTGCAGGTGAAGGTGCTCTTTACGCAGCGACGACAACATGAGTATTCGTTCCGGAACCTCCAACTCAGCCAGCAAGCCGGAGAACGCCAGAAGAAGAACATTCTTCAAATGGCTTTGAGATTTGCTCAGCGAGCTACGGAGTTGCTGGCTGACTTCGGAAGCAAGTGGTCATTCAAATATCAAACAATACACACATGCACCCATGCACCCATGCCTCATGGTCTTTCATTTCTTAAGACTACTACTTCAGGATGCCCCCGAGCGATTCGAGGGACGCGCAGACGCGATGGAAGAGGCCTTCAAGGAATTTAACCAATTTGGTTTGGCTGCCCACAGCGAGAACTATCGACTGCAAGACAAGGATTGCAATGCCATGAAGGCAGGCTTCATTATAAGGGTCAGTGAGTAATTACCCCTTGAACCCTGCGCATTTTCTTCTAGGTGCTGGTGGGGAGTGTTGCTGATGAAGTTCGCACACTGATGTCACGACATCTTCAGCAATTCATTTGGAGCGAGTGTGCCTACACTGTGGAAGCTGTCAGAAGTTCTCGCTGGCATCTAGGATCGTCAGGGAAGTACGGGCTGCCAGGGGATCCCTGGAAAGACATGATGACGGTGACCAAGGGAAAGCAGTTGCTGTTCATCCAGCGCCTGCATTTCGCCTATCAGCTTCGCCGTCGGCAAACCAAGTCAGCAGCCCATGCTCGCTTGTCAGGCGAGGCTTGGGATGCTATGATGGATTCGACATGCTTGCTGGAATGGTGTCTTTCAAGAATGGGAAAGGCAGTAGATGAGGAAACAAAGCAGCCCATCTTCAGCCCCAACATCATCCAGGCTGCTACCCTGAAGATCTTGGAAGGGTGCCTCAGGCTTATCTTATTAAAGTAGTGTTTTCATCTATTTTCAGCTGGGGTTCAGGGCCTTTAGGGGCTTCAAACGGATTGAGACATGGATTGCCCTGATCCTCCAGGGACTACAACGCTGACGCAGAGAAGCATGTCCTCATCAAGCTTCCCGACCTTCGTGCGGAGGACATGAGCCTTTGGGCCGACCACCTCCCCAAATCCGCAGAGAAGGTTGCTCTCAAGATGGGGAATGATGAGATCACCCGCCTGGACACCGAGAGCATCCAAAAGCAATTCGAGGCTGACAAGTACAAGGTTTCTTGGGACTTGGCAAGTTTCATGACCTACCAGGAGTCCTTGCAGAAGGAAAAGAGGTTGGGTCAGGTGGCAAAGGTCTGCCACATCCGGGCAGAAAACCAGCGCGGCAGCTCGGCGGTGGTGGAGTTCATGCAGCGCAATTGCCAGCATCATACAGGGTGCTATGATGACGCGGACGCGGTGGAGGACATTAAGAAGGTCTAGGGGGCAAGGGTATAATTACGGTTTGGGGGAAGATTCTTCGTAGAGTTTAGGGTTTAGAGTTTAGCGTTTAGGGTTTGGATGTTTCTCATTTTTGCTCCTTACCTGTTGCCCCATTCTCCCCAAACCTCCCTGAAGTGGATGAATGGCATCAGAGCAGATGCCGGCGTGATCTGGGTGGATCTCACGAAGTTCGGGAGACTCCAAAATGATGATATGAACAATGTGGTGGATGTTGTCAGGAACTTGCTCACCCACAGCCCGAAGACCATGTGTGCCATCATCCTAGTTCCCATCCTGACGAGTGCCAAGGTTGGTAACGGCATTCGTGGGGAAATCAGGCCATTTAGTTTAAATAACAATATCTTGACCCTAAGACCCCATAGATCTAGATCTACCTGACCCAAGAGAAGCAAAGTTCATCCTAAAGGCCCAAACACTTCTTCCAAAGGCGGTTGGAGGACAAGTGCGATGCAAAATTCCTTACGAATGTCAGCATCAACATCCGCATGTGTGAGCCCCACACCAACCGCAAGCAGGCGTTGCTCTACCCGGCCTTGGTTTGCTTCTCAGGAAGCGATTGCATCTTCGAGGTGTCCAAGCTGGTCGTGGACAGGCCTGCTCAGTCTAATCTCATGTTAATTGATTGATATTTTTTTCGAATCTATGGAGGTGCAACAGAGATGCGGTGCAATGGCTTCCTGAACGAGAGTACAAAGTTCCAACACGTGGCAAGAATGCCATCCCCTCCACGAGAGAGGACTTGGAAAGGTGAGGTGTTCCTAGGGGCTAGGGCTTGGGTTTTAGAGATTATTTTAGGTGAGAGACCTCAGAACCCAATAGTGCTCTTCGCAGGTCTTGTTCAGAGGTGCAGGAGGCAGCGCAGCATCTTGGTGGCCTCCACATGCCCACTATTGTCATCGGAGCTCTGATGCAGGCCCCTGGAGATTGAAATATGATAGCCCCCAACAAGCTTAGTAGCCTTGAACCCCAATCCAGTACATTGCCTCAATAATGAACTCCCACTTACTTTCCCATGCTCCACGCCTATGCTTAACCCTAGGCCCTAAGACCCCGAACCCTCGACCAATCCTGAAAACCTAGCTTGCGCAGGATGTGGAGGAGATCACTTCGAGCAGCAAGGTTGCTGTGGTGAATCTCGCACCCTATGATGGGACGTTGGAAAGGGCATGCCTTCAATCCCCTCAGATGAACGGCCCGAGGACAGAAGTTTGGGAACCATGTAAAGTATAAGGGCTTCTTAGGTGTAGGGTAGGGTAGGATGATGGGCAGGATGCCAACCTATTCGTTTGGTGACCAGTTCATCTTTGTCAAGTATTGCGAGCGCATGGTGGCGCAGTACCTCCTGGAGGCTTCTGGGGGTTTCACTACATACAGTACGACTGTCCCTGCGCCTGCTACTCAAGTGAATGAAACCTTACCTACAAACTAATGCTTATCATGATTCTATTTCTCACCTGAGTAATACTATAATTACTAATTACTAGAAATACTCAGTTCTTCTGCTTTTTACGACTATTACTACTGCTGCTGCTACTACTGCTGCTACTACTACTACTACTACTACCACCACTAGTACTAGTACTACTACTGCTACTACTATTACTACTGTTTAGTATTGATGATTTTTATGATTGATATTGATTTATATTAATATTATTATTACTACTACTACTACTACTACCACCACCACCACGACTATTACTAGTACTACTGCTGCTGCTGCTGCTACTACTACTACTACTACTATACTACTACTACTAGTAGTAGTACTATTACTATTGCCATTGTTATTATTACTAGTACTACTACTGCTACTACTAGTAGAAATACCCACAACAAAAAAAACATCAATAATCACTGTTCGCACCCTTGCCCTTGGAGCCCTAAAATTCCACCTGAATGTTTTCATCATTTTTGATCTAGAAACCCTTGCCAGGATTGGAAGACAGGGCGCAATATCATTGGTGCGGCCCCCTACAATGAGGCCCTTGCAAGTGCTGCCGAGAGTGAAACCCAAGTCCCAACCTTCCACTATGGTGTTCTCAACTATGTGGATGGCAAACCGATGTTGGCCTTGCCGCCCTCCATCCGCACAAAATGGTCCCAAGACCTCAGCCGGAAGGACGACTGGGCAGAGTGCTTGGCAAAGTTTGACAGCTCGTTACCTGGAAGATATTAAGAACCCCAGATCCCGGCCCCTCAATCCCAACAATTAGTTCTTTCTACCCTAAACCAATCCCAGGGTGCACACCTCATCAGCGCCTGCTGATGAGCCAGCAGCCGTGGGAAGTACAACAGAGCCCAGCGGGGCCGAGGGTGATTCTTCAATTTGGCAGTCAGAACCCCGAACCCTGGACGAGTTGGACTCCCGCTACGAGGTAGTGAGTACATGCCCTGGCCGCAACCCACAGACCCTCCTGCGAATTGTCAATGCGAAAGAGAAGGGCCAGGACGAAACCAAGGATGTTGTCAGCGGGCAAGCTCACAAACTCTTCTTGGTAGGGTGCTCAGTTTTCAAGCTAGGTCCAGGAAATGTCAGAGGTTAAGGTGTTTAGCAAGGGGCTGTTGGATGCTTAGGCGAAGGATTCGACATGTGGTGCTTCATGTATCCGCAAAGAACATGGAACTCCCTGCCTCTCCCAATATCATCTAATCTATCGGCACACAACGAAAAGTAACACCTAAGCCCTAAACCCCAGCCCTCAACCCACTCTTTCCTGAATGCCACATACTCCCTTCTCAGGTTGCCAATGCCGATGTCTCTGTGCCAGCCAGTGACTTCCAGTTGGCTCACGATCGAGCCACCTTCCTCGCCGGAGCTAAAGTTCAGAGGCTTCTGGAGTCAGGAGGCTGGTTGCGGGTATGATGGTGTCGAAGTAGCTTTACAGACGAAGCTTGCTGATTTCCTTCCGAGTCACCACAATTCGCTAGCTTTTGGCTTAGAGAAGATAGTTTTGCATCTTTGGTAGAAGGTGTAGCAGCCATGGATTCTCAGAGTGAGGACCTCATGAACTTCCTAATGAGCAGCACAGCTGGGATGCCAGCTGCCCCACTCCATGTAGATTCAGCGCACAGTGCAACCCCTCCTGCTACCCCAAGGGCAAAAACTATCGAAGAGAAGGAGATGTCTCAGACTCCTACGCCACCAACTTGGCAGTATCGCAAGGGTGCAAGTGTTGCATCTGTGGAATCTGCCGTAACCCCGCAGGCTCACACCGGACTAAGCACTCCCCCGAGCACTACCAAAAAGGGACAGGTGGCTGTGGATCCTCAGCTTGTTAGTGAAATTGATGCAGTCGCCAAGAAGTTAGACAACGAGCTGAAGATTCAGAGCAAGGAGGGAGAGGGCAAGGCAGAGGTCACGGAAAAGAATGGTGGGAAACGTAAGACAAAAGAGGAGATGATCCAGAAGGCTATGGCCTCCAATGGGGACACTGCAGCTACCGACCAAGCTACTGGATTGAATCCAAAACCCCTACTCCCCGAACATTTCTGGAGCACCCCAATCTTTAGCCAGGAACACATCACATAAATTGAAAGTTTATTTCTTCGTGAAATCCTTATATATCCCGGCATTCAAACAACCTGAACATTTTAACCCCTGGGCTTGTCCTATGACTTAGCTCCACCAGACCTGAACAGACACTGGGAAAACCACTAAACCCTAAACCTAAGCCCTAAACCTAAACCCCAAGCCCGATTCAAGGCTTCCAGCTCCTCCTTCGCCAGCATGGTCGCCGGAATGTGTGCAACCTCGGCAAAGAGATGCAGTAAGACAACAAGTGGAGCCCCCCAAAAAAAGGCAAAAGCCTCGAAGCCCCAGCCGGAGCAGCCAGAGGAAGAGTACGAAGAGGAGGGGATTGCGCATGGATCCGAGGAGGCGGACCAGGAGGAGGAAGACAAAGCCGAGAACCCGAAGGCCACAGCGAGCCCGAAGGCAAAAGCGAAGGCCAAAGCGAACCCAAAGGCCAAAGCGGACCCCAAGGCCAAGGCGAACCCAAAGGCCAAAGCTAAGCCAAGCGCGCTTAAGACCGAGTGGGCCAAGTTTTTGGCTGAGCACATGAAAGAGCACAAGGGCGAGAAGCCAGTGAGTGCACTCATGAAGGATGCTGCCGAGAAGTGCCTCGCCCACTTTTTTTTAAGAAAAGTATTCCATTGAAATCAGCCTTATCCAAGTTGCCTCAGAGTAATTCGGGTCTAGGGATTGGAGGTCAGGTTGGGATGGCCCTCATGTTGTAGCTTTAACGAGCTCCATGTTTTCGGTTTGATTACCTGAGGTGGAAGACCCACCCACTTCGTGTGGAGGCGATGCGCGGGTTGTCTATGTCGCAGCTCAAGAAGCGACGATGGGCGTAGAATGCCAAAAGCAATGATGTCACATCCTTTCATGGATGAAGTTTGGCTTTGCGAAGCTACACGAGTTTCATGGCAATGTGCTGTGTCGGAGGAACTAGGGAGTTGAAGGGGTATCAGCTCCGGACTCCAGTGCAGTGAGATCAAAAAATGACCGACATGCTTGTAAGCCCTGAACCCTAGACCCTAACCTAAAGCCCTAAACCCTGAATCGGAAAGCTTCAGGTTCTGTGTGCCACTACCTATTAGTATAAACAGAACCAGTAGGGCCCCCCCAATTCAAAAAAATGAATCCTATCATCGTGCGCTAGCAAAGGGCTCAGCAAGCCTGGCATAATATTGACAAGGATTCTCAGACCAATTTGACCTGACCCCAACCCCCAACCCTAAACCCTGAACCACCTTGCAGGCATCATGAAGGAGCCGAGCAACTTGCAATGCGTTTGGGATTCCGACCTCAACGAAGTCGTCCTGGAGATCACAGAGAATAATTCGAGGCGATTGAAGGATGCCCCAGTCAGTTCACTGCGGAGCCTAGATTGAAATAGGCTTTAGGGCTTTTAGGGTAGAGGGTAGGGTTTAGTGCGAGGGTAGAATTTAGGTCTAGAGTGTCGAATATAGCCTTTAGGGTTTTCTCGATTTGGGTGGATGCCAAATACGGGCGGTAGTTGCCCAAAACCCGTGCTGAGCCTTGACTGCTCATCCTGTGAAACTAAGGGCTTTGTTGATTGAGATGGAAACGAATGGAGTTGTGGATGTTACCCTGAACAGCCACAGCCTCGACCGGTCAGGCTGGGAAGTGAATGCTGATTCCAAATTACATATTGTACAAACCAATTCAGTTCAATGCAGGTGTTGATAGCTTCACGATTGCCCCCGACCCGCAGCAAATCCCCCTTGTCTTTAAGTACACGCAGAAGACGGGCACAGATGCGAAGTTCACAACCATGGCCTCCTACTTTACCAATGCTTCCCTGCTGGCATCCATTCATCTTCGTTTGGTGTGGCGTGTCAGCTTCCAAGCAGACGAGCAGGACATTATGGAAGTAACTTCTAAATACCCTAGACCCTAAACCCCATAAACCTTAAACACTAGACCCTAAACCCCTAAATCCCCTTAATTCCTAAATCTCTCCTAAACCCTGAACCCTACATAAATCTGGCTTCCACATCAGGAGATCTCACCAAAGAAACCGCTATGGTTCCTGAAGCGAAGTCTGGATTTGACCAAAGGTCAAGCCATTAGGATTATCTGATTTCAAGTGCACAAGGATGCTTATGGCGAGCATGCACTGCAGCCGCAATAATTCCCAGATGGAACCTGAATAAACCCTTAATTGAGCTCTAGAGCTGCATTTTGAGTGCTCGGTCCTTCGCCAGCATCCCGAGATCGGAAGCTGCAGCTGCGGCTGCTGGAGCTTGCTGGGGCGAGGGAAAGATATCAGGGGCCTTTAGCGTTTTTCGGGATAAGGGCTTCAGTAGAAGTTTGTTAAGTTTTCGTTTATAGTCCCAGTTAGTAGATAGAATACAGCTTTGGACAATTTGGACATATTATAGTAAGATCCCCATATACCCCATATCTACTTAAGGGAGACTGTAGGGTGCCTGCTAGAGGACTGTAAAGTTCTTGTTTAGGGCTTAGGGCGCAGATAGGGTTAGGGTTTGGGGTTTGGGGTTCAGGATAAGGTTCCGAAACTTTTGTCCCAAGTAAAACATAGCGGCTGGGAGGTTCGAGGTCCATAAGAAAGATTGCAAAATTATACGAAGCCGAAAAGTCAAGGGTTCAGGATATTAGGGGGGAGAAGGCATTCAAGTTTTTAGGCATTGTGCTTCAGGCCTTGAACGGGCTTGAATCCCCGAAATTTTACTGGCATTATATTGGGTTTAGGGTTCAGATTAGGGGGTGTGAGGATTTCAAATCAAGGCTGTGTAATCCCTTTACACCTTTTACCCTGTGGTAGTCCATTATCATGAATTTTCTATTCAGGCCCATGCCCCTGAACCCCAACTACTACAAGCCTGAGGTTTCGCGGACTCCCAGCACTGAACCCCATATTTACCGGACCTTTATTATTACCGAAAAAGTATTCAGCTATTCAACCCCCCCCTCCCCCTAAGCCCTGAACAAACTGCACACCGAAAACTAAATCCCAAAACCAGTCTAAAATCTTAGCTTGAAACATGGCCCCTGTGCAAAGATGACACAATTGCTATTTTTTTCCATATAGGCTCAGGCAAACTGAAGAATGACCCTTAAATTGTTGTGACTTTCATATGTCATCTAGGCGCAAGCACACAGAGAAGAATGATAATTGAATTGTTGTGACTTTTTTGCCATCTAGGCTCAGACACGAGGACACACCCTCAAGAATGAGAATTGAATTGTTGTGACTTTTGTCATCTAGGCTCAGCCACGAGGACACACAGAAGAATGATAATTGAATTGTTGTGACTTTTTTGCCATCTAGGCTCAGAAACGAGGACACACCCTGAAGAATGAGAATTGAATTGTTGTGACTTTTGTCATCTAGGCTCAGCGAGAAACTCTCAAGAATGAGAAATGCAGAGCCTCAGATCCAAAAGCT